CAAGCACCGAAACGAGCCGATTCAAACACCAAAAGGATGAAACTCTTGCTCAGAGTCACACCCATTCCAACACTTCTTCAGGGTGCAGGCTTGCTTTAGAGCTTGGGGTTTGGGTTCGGGGTTGGTTCAGGGCTTAGGGTTTAGGGTTCAGGGCTTCAGGGTCAAGGGTTTAGGGTTTAGGGGCGTTAGGGTTTGGGGGCTTCAGAGTTTCAGGGCTTCAGAGTTCAAGGGTTTCAGGGTTTTGGGGGCTTGAGGGTTTAGGATTTTAGGGCTTAGGGTTTAGGGTTTAGAGGTTTTAGGATTTAGGATTTAGGGGTTGTGGGGTTTAGGTCTTATGGGCTTTAGGGTTAAAGGCTTAACATTTACGGGGTTTAGGGTTAAGGGTTTTAGGGTTCAGGGGCTTTAGGGTTTAGGGGTTTTGGGGTTTTAGGGCTTAGGGTTTGAAGGTTTTGGGGGCTTTGGGGGTTTTAGGGTTAAGGGGTTTTAGGGTTTACTAGGGATTGTGGGGTTTAGGGTTTTGGGGGCTTTGGGGTTAAGTGGTTTTAGGGTTTTGGGGCTTTAGAGTTTAGGGTTCAGAGGCTTGAGGGTTTAGGGTTGAAGAGTTTTAGGGTTTAAGGGTCTCAGGGTTTAGGGGGCTTCAGGGTCGAGGGCTTAGGGGCTTGAGAGGGTTTTGGGGTTTAGGGGGTTTAGGTTTTAAAGTTGAGGGGTTTTAGTGTTTAGGGTTTAGGGGCTTGAGAAGGTTTTAGGGTTTAGGGGTTTTAGGGTTTTGGGGCTTTAGGGTTTAGGGGTTTAGTGTCTAGGGTTTAGGGGCTTGAGGGTTTACGGTTTCGGGGCTTTTGGGGTCTAGGGTTTAGGGGTTTTAGGGTTTTGGGGGCTTAGGCTTTGAAGGTTGTGGGGGCTTTAGGGGTTTTAGGGTTGAGGAGTTTTAGGGTTTAGGGGTTGTGGGGTCTAGGGTTTAGGGGCTTTAGGGTTTAGGGTTTAGGGGTGTGGGGGCTTCAGGGTTTCAGGGCTTTAGGGCTCAAGGATTTCAGGGTTTTGGGGGCTTCAGGGTTTAGGATTTTGGGGCTAAGGGTTTAGGGGTTTTAGGATTTAGGATTTAGGGGTTGTGGGGTTTAGGTCTTATGGGCTTTAGGGTTAAAGGCTTAACA